ATGCCAAAAAATGTAAATAGTAGACCCCTGTTCGGCAACAAAAAAAAAACGAAATTACAATGCAAAAATACTTTAAATTCGAAGGATACGGCGTATTATTTTCTGGTACGGTCTAATGTACATGCGAATGTATGGCTCACGCTGCACGCTGAGCAAAGAAGTATAACAGTTGTTCAGTTGTGTTATTAGGTGTAAGAAAAGTCATTAACAGCGAAGCAACTTCAATGCCGTTAAAATATATTTTTCAACATTTGTAGAGGAAGTTGCAACTGCAGCGCCAATGAATTCGATATACTTATGTATAAGTATATACATATGAAAATGCCAAACGTTTGATAGAAGATACATACGAGCACATATTTGCGGTTTTTTAATTCAATGAAAATTTATTTTTTTTTTTAGTAAAATTTTTCTGTGGTTAAATGCTTTGTGGATTATGTGACTTAATGAAACGGAGGTCTCAAATTCAATATTTAACACTTCCTATGAGGTCGTAGGTGCATGTATGTGTACAGTGTTATACTCACATGAAGTAATGTGAAGTTATATTGAGGGCTATTGAGAGAGATAGCGGAAGTAGCAGTATAATTAGATAAAATCGTAGATATACCGAGGGTCAATGCACGTTGTTGCGGATTGCAGTGTCTATATATATATGAGATAATCTCACGATTTGTTGTTTTTTAGTGTCACTTCCTTCTATCACCAGAAAAAAAAATCTAAAGCAATCTACTTGCATATAGTATTTCAATCAATTGAGTTCAAAAAAAAATAAAAATCAAGTATTTGAACCATTTTTGCCTTAAAACGTTTATTTTGGCGTAAAAGTATCGAAATTACTCATATTTTCATTTTCGCTCGAAAAAATCATAATTATTATTTTTTTTTCAATAACTTTGGGAAGTTTTCAAATAGCATGTTCATATAAGAAGCTAGAGACGTTGGCACAAAATACAAAGTATATGTGAAGTTTCAAGAGTGTGCCACCAAATTTAAAAATGACAGCATGCAGAATATCTGTAGCAACCTTTTTGTAATTTTGAAATTTTATGATTTTTTTTTTAATTTTAATAAATTAAGATACTTCAAAATGCTAAAATTAAGCGATGAAAATTTTCTTCTTGCCAAAACGAAAGAAACTAGTTTAATAAAGTGTGCCACCAAATTTAAAAAAAAGATTAGAATGAGCAAAAGATGACTATAATTTGAGAAACTACAATTCCATTTTTTTAATTTTTATTGACACACTCGAAATTCATTCTAAAATTGTTATATACATGAAGAAATAAATACATATTTGCTTAAAAAATACTGTATAAAAATTTTGCATGCCAATATTTAATTACTTTTAAATTACATATATCACTTTTTAATTAAGCCAAACGAATAAACGTGTTAGCTGACTGTGTATGGTTATATAATCGCGAGTTGTTATTTTTACTTTTTTTTTTAGTATAACTATTTTAAGTTTTCGTTAAAATACAATTTCGCGATGAAATATTGTTCCTTATGCAAAACTGAAGAGAATGCATTGTCTAAGATAAGTGTGCCACTATTTTTGAACAAAAACACGTTAAGGAAAATTTGAGCCCACCTCCGGAGTAGATATTTTTGCATTGCACTTATTTCTCCGTATCGGTAGAATCTATGCGAAGGCAAGCATATTGGCTTACAAAACATTACTTACCATAGAGATTCATCTGAGGCAGAAATCAACCTATTTCGAAACCTTATTATCAGCCTGGAAAACGGAAAAATTAATTCCAGATGCTAATTTCTGATGTATTCACCAATCAAGATGTTTCGAAGTGTTTCGAAGGCGCATAGAAATAGCTGATATTAGGTAAAGCCAGACAAGTAGAGAAAGGTTTAGAAGACGAGTACTTAATCTTTTACTAAAAAATTAAATTTGTTATGCTATGTTGTATAACATGGTAACTAAACTCCTCGCAATCTGGTGGAGAAATATTGCAAGATTTAATTTTTATAAATTTTGTTTTTAAAATCAATTTTGATCGTTTAACTAAAAATGGAATAGGCAAACATTCATTAACTGAATTAATTTGAACATTCTCGTTAATGGATATGCCATAAAAAAATTTAGTCTACCCGATTTAAATTATTCAAGCCGTGTATGTATGTATTAAGAGCGAAAACTATTAGTCGTGCGCTGTGTGACCAGGACCCTATTGCACCAATGACGTATCATTAGCATTTTAGGCAATTATCGATGTTGCGCAAAGTTATGCGTTTCACTAACTTCATAAAAGAAAGTCACTTGGGTAGTGATAGGTAAAATATCTATCAAAGTCATTGACAAGTGTTTCCCGAAATGTTTAAATGCTAAGCGAAAAGATCTTAGCAAATTTTGGGTACGAGGAACCTGAATCTGCAGTTCACATTTACCAAAAAAGACAGTACGCGTTGGTGCAATAGGGCCCAGATTTGCCTTTTTGAGGCAAGATTTAGCTATAATGTATATTTTTGCTCCAGCTTCGGTATTTAAGGCCTAGATTCATGACTTTTTTCTGGCATTTTTTTTTTTTTTGTTAATGTCACTTTTTTTTAATAATTTTCATTTTTTTAGTACACTAAGAAAAAAAACGATTTTATGGAAATGTTAAATCTTTCGGTGAACTATCCATATATTCTTATAGTTTTTTTTCCTTAGGAAATTTGAGCAGCCAAGATGAAATATTATGTAATTGAATTGTAATGGTAAATTGTTACAGCAAAACAAATGCGACTGAGTAAATATGTTGCTTTTGCCTAAAAAACCAGTATGCAACACTTTTAGGCAGGGCGATCGGCGTAGCCAGAATGAAATTTAGGGGGGGGCTCGACCCTATTAAGCTGGTATTTCAGGGTACTATCTTATATATATATATAAGGAAAATTTGAAAGTTAGGGGCGGGCTCGAGCACCCCCCTGCACCTACCTGGCTACGCCCATGGGCAGGGCCTAACATTTCGAAGTTGAATTAGGTGACCTTCCCTTAGCTCTTGCAAGCCCACATGACAATAGTTAAAGCACTTACTTTTTTTTTTTGCGAGATAGAAAAATCCCGTTATACGCAAATTGGCGCATTTGTGAGCGGATTTTCTTTCACTAAAGAAGCTTGTGTTCCAAATTTCAAGCCTCAAGGTTAATTTTTACGATATATGGCAAGCTTTTTCCTGATTTCTCCCACTGTGGGGCGTTTAATCTAACGGTTGGTTCAGCACCGCAGCACAGCGTCAGAAAGAAAGAGGGCAAAAAAAAGAAAGAGGAAATGAGAGAAATATCGAACGTCTTAGGCATTTATGTGAGTATAGCGCGCGTTGCCAAAGATTGGCGCTAGAAAATGCAACGCTTAGCGCTTCAATTTAGAAATGGCTATCATAGTCGGCGGCGGTCAATTGGGGTCAATTCGACGTCGCTGTTGACTTTGTTGTTTTTCGTGTGCTTTTGCTTGTTGCATGTGTTGCCATTATCGCTCTGCGTAATTGTCATTGCCGCTTTGTACGAACCAGTTTCGCAGATGGTTACAATACTCTTCCAAAAAAGATAGGTATGTAAATACGTAATGTAGTTAAAAAGATGCTAGTATAGATATGCATACATACATTAGGGTGGTCCCAAAAAAAAGTAAAGTCCGAATTTTTATCCCCCTTGGATTGTTCTATGCCGAAAATCTCTCAAAGCGCTCAAAGGTTTACTTGTATTTTATATGAGAACAAACCATTTTTCATAGAAAAGGTATATAATTATTTTAAATCAATATTTTTCGATCAGTGATTTTCAATAATAATACGCAATTGTTTATATAAGCTTTTTTTGTAATAACTATTTTTTATAGGTCAAACAAAGCCCTCAAAAAATTCAGTGGGAGCAACCATAAAACGTTAGTATTAAAAAATGGTTTAATAAACAATTAGGTATTACTATTGGGAGTCTCCCGAAGAGAAACAGAGTTTTCGGATATACATATACATATACTACTTCAACGAAATATTGTCTTTTTCCCCATATAACTTTGAGCGCTTTGAGCGCCCTCTAAATAGTTTTTTATNAGAAAAGGTATATAATTATTTTAAATCAATATTTTTCGATCAGTGATTTTCAATAATAATACGCAATTGTTTATATAAACTTTTTTTGTAATAACTATTTTTGATAGGTCAAACAAAGCCCTCAAAAAATTCAGTGGGAGCAACCATAAAACGTTAGTATTAAAAAATGGTTTGATAAACAATTAGGTATTACTATTGGGAGTCTCCCGAAGAGAAACAGAGTTTTCGGATATATGTACATATACATGTACTACTTCAACGAAATATTGTCTTTTTCCCCATATAACTTTGAGAGCTTTGAGCGCCCTCTAAATAGTTTTTTATTTCAAAATAAAAAAAAAAAACAGTTTAAATTTTTTCGATATAAAATAATCGTAGGGGGGGGGGTGAGCGCGTTAAATTTCTGACTTTACTTTTTTCACTTGAATTTTTGGACCACCCTTATGCCACTTTTGGGATAGGCGCAGATGACTACTAAATTTTTCTGATAAATATTTAAATTTATTGCACCTATGTATGAATATAATTCGTGACTACTTCCAAAGTGCTTCAAAATTGATTTCGTACTTGTCACGTAAGCTGAACGATTTGCTTAGTTGACATCTTATGAGGCGACTTTATTCAGAGGAGCCCAACACAGAAGAAGAATAACCAGTTAAAACGGTATCTCACCCTATACGGTCGATCGGGCGGTATTATAAAATCACTAACTAATTCCAAACACTAGTTAGCCGTCCGAAAATATACTTAACGATATTGCCGTCGTATATCGGTACTGCAGGGTAAGGAGGTTTGGCATGCTAAAGTCCCAGACATTATTAAAAAAAAAAACAAAGATGTCGCGTTTAACTAGGTGCATCTTAATTTGCCTAAAAAGGTGATTTAAAAAAAAAAATAGCAAAAACATATTTTGTTCTTAATTGCGATAAATTTATTGCGAACACTTACTCGAGTAAACAGCAGCACCCTGCACAGCGACAATTGCATTGACCATGGCCAACAATGACAAAATTCCGACAAATGATATACGAAAAGTTGATACAAAATTTTTATTTTTTATTTCACAATTTGGTGTATTTCGGTTTCGTTTACGTTTTTCAATATCGAATTGAGTGCTATTGTCGTCGTTCATATTATACAGCCGGTTTTTATCGCTGCTGTTGTTGTTGTCGTCGTAGCTGTGGTAGCTGTTGCTGCGATGGCAGCAGCTGTCACCCAACAAAAGGCGTCGAGTAACCATTTTTTGCTATTTACTTTGCTTATGTATTTTATTATTTGTTGTTTAAGCACTTATTTTTTTTTTATTTCTTGTTTCTTCTTTGTATATTTTGCTGCTTCTTATTTTTATATGTGCCTACTCGTACATGGGTATGCAGGTATGTTGAAATTTTTACAGACACTCAAGACACTGCCGTTTATTTTTTGTTCCGTTAACCAATTAATTAAAATTGCAAATTTTTACATTTTCGTAGTAAAATATAGCAAAAAATACTTTCGCAATGTTGCTTTGGAGTAGTTTGTTTTTCGAATTTCTGCTTTGACAATATATATATATTTTTTTTTAATTTCCAATCAAAAATGCAAAGTTTGTCGGTGTAGGCACTTTGTTTTTGTTGTAACGGTTAATTTGCAATGCAGCTTTAAGCAAATTTCGTTTGAATTATTAACAAGTAAACTTTTAATATTCAAAAGCTTACAGTGCTTTCACATGATTAACACAAAAAAACAAACACACGATTTGTGTTGTTAAAAATTAATAGAGAAAAAAATCATGTAAAAAGTGTGCAATTTTAGCAGGTAATCCACAAGTAATTATCACTTTTTTATCATTTCATTTTCATAATTTCGCACTTTAAACAGTTATATTCGACTCGCATTGTACGAGTAAATTTATGTCGCAATTTACAAACACAAATTTTACTTTCAAAAAAATTTTCGGTTTGCTTGGCGTCCAGCATTCAAAGGCCGGAATCGCTGCTGTGACGATTCGTCGCCGTCGTCGTCTTTGCTCTGTACGCCGTCAACGTGTTTCACCTCCGCTCAACGTTCGCTCGCGCCGAGTATCAGATTCCAACTGAGCTCACCTTTTCGACGATCACTAATACTGCCAGCTGTTGATGGCAGCAACAAACAACTGGCACTACACAACAAGCACTAAGTAATGAATACAAACCCGCAAAAGGTAAATACGGAGTTAAACGAGCGATGTACATACACGTGTGTATGTATGTATGTATAAACCACACTTCACTTGCGCACACTCAATCCTCTTAAGCTAGCGTACGAATAATCACTGATCTTGTCTTAAACAACTTCATAATTGCGATCACGTTCGTACCAGCGATGGAAAACAAGATTTTCCAATAGTACCTAATTTTAGGAGGAAGCATCGAAAGCCTAATCCCAAAAACCGTCAGTGTGAGACTCTAACCCACTAAACCTCCTGTCGTCTATGTACCGACCCCCCTGGTACCACTGTTCATTATGTCGTCGGGAGTTGGTTGAGCACAAAGCTCTACGTTCGTTACTGTTCACATGATTCCACCTACGGTTCGTCTGGGTTTGGTATTAAACCTACCCTTGGTATTTTACAACTAAGATGTTCGTTTCTAAGTCAGTAATGTCCGGATGCAGCAATGTATTGCTACTTATACGATTTTTTGAGAGGTTCGCCCCCTTCATGCTGAAACTTTTCAAGCCAAGCGGGACTTTTATCTGGTCTGAGCCATATAATATGATGTGTGTGTGCGTCTTACATCGTCTGTCCTGCTTGCCTACGCTTCACTTGCTTGCTGTTGCGGAGTTGCTGTGTAACCAGGGCAAAAGTGGCTTTACATAAATTCCTTCCAATCATATTGGCTCTGCAACTGTAACTACGCTTCCGAGACATTAATTGAGCTTTCCTCTCTGAGTGCTGAACCGGTGGCATGAAAGGAGTACGTGGTCAGTAGTCGCCGTATGGATTGATTTCATTCCCAAAGCGATGGAATAGGCCTTAAAGCATCCATGAACACTAAGGACTTGTGTTAGGTAGAAATCTACCTCAACGTGCTGTCTTTTTATCCATATATCGATATTAGGGATGAGGCGATTTGTCCACCTGCCTTTTGTTGCGCCATCCCACCTAGCTTGCCATTGCGTCATGCTGTTTTGTCTAAATTATGACTTAGCTTTCCTTTTTTCAACTGCTTCTCTTGTGTCAAAAGATCAAGTGGAAGTGTCCCGAAAATACTTGTTCTGTATGCAGAGCATACTTTTAGTGCGCATAGGCGATAAGTTCATAACCTAAACCTACTATGAGCGTTTAAATGTGTCCACCCAAATGGTTCCTCCGTACAAGAGTATGGATGTAACAACTCCTGCAAGTATTAGTATGTACTGCTGTTTCGCCCCCAATTTTTGCCATCAGTCTGGACAAAGACGACGTCGCTCTTGTCGCCTTCTCGTTGACGTAGTTATGATGATCTCGTAAGCAAAGGCGATGATCTATTAATACCCCGAGGTGTTGTAGTGGTAAGCAGTGCGCGCTTTCACTCATCAGCACCTGGGTTCAAGCCCTGGTCAAAGCAATATCGTAAAAAAATAGAAAAAGGTTTTTTCTTAACAGCGGTCGTCCCTCGGCAGGCAATGGCAAACCTCCTAGTGTATTTCTGCTATGAAAAACAGCTTCTCATTAAAATACAATCGCCGTTCGGTGTCGGCGTAAAACTGTAGGTCCCTCCGCTTTGTGTGACAACATCAAGGCGCATATGTGTAAGCGCCAATCTATTATTATGATTATTATTTAACGTGGGCCTTAAATGCCATTACACCCGCTCCGGCAGTTAGTGTTACACCTTTCACTTTTGAATTTTCTTCGCCATGTCACAGTTCCTCAATTCTGTACCTAACGTTCAATGACGGTAGGAGTTAAAGTCGCACACTAACGAGTTTAGGCTTTCGATGCTTCCTCGTAAGAAAAATCAGCTCCTACATGTAGAAGCCAGCCCCTCACATCCGTTTAGTGGCTTCGTATGTCATTAAAAACGCTGTTTCACGACTTTGTCCATAACATATGTAAATCAATAAATATGCTGCTTTCATTTATTTCACCGTTAATGCCATTAAATATGACGTAATGAAAACCTGCCTTTGCTCAAGCTTCGAGAAGTAAGATTAGTCTAGCGTTGAACGAGAAAAAGTCAAACTTCTCTCTAACAACAAACAAAGAGTCGGTGTTGGTTGATTTTTCCGACAGGGTGGTAAGATGATTTATTTTGGAACGAATTTCCGTCATCCCTTGTCAAGTTTGGTTTGCAGACAAACCGGTTTCGGCGTTGTGCCATCTTCAGTGTCATTTTTCGTTCTGTCTGGTTCGAGATTTGTCCCTAATTTATGTTCATTTATCTTAGGTAATGTGATTTTCGTCGATGATTATATTTTCTAGGACGTTTAGTCGTTGGCCTTTATGTTGTACATGCAGTAGTTTCGCTGCCTTTCTTATTTGCGTTGGTGAACATTTGTTGTTAAACATGTGGTTAGCAAAATTTGACTCTGGTATTGCGCTCGGTTTCTGTGTCTTTTTGTTATAGTCTCTTATATGCTCGCGGAATCTTGTTTTTATTTTACGTCCTGTTTGACCTATGTAACTATGCTGGCATTTGCAAGTTAGTTTATAGACTCCTTGTTTATCCAATGGATCTTCTTGATTTGTGGTGTTCCGTAGTATCCGTCCCACGTTGTTATTTGTTCTGAATGATGTGCGAAGGTTGTGTTTCTGGAACAGCTTTGCAAGTTTGTACGTTGACTTTCCAGTATAGGTTAATACCGCCCATTTTTTGTTATTGTTTTCTTCTTTGTTTGGCTTTTTGTTTTTGTGCTCCCTTCGGATTTCTTCTACCAGATCTCTTTTGTATCCGTTATTAGCCGCTATGGCATATATTGCGTTCAGTTCTTTGTTGTATCCTTCTTTTGTTA